CTTGTTCCAATGCCCGACTCTCACTGTTAGCTCCTGCCTCTTCCTCATGAGTAGATGCCTCTGTTGAGCCGTCAGGCACGACAGAAGGGAAGCAAAAGGCAAGGGAGAAAGAGAAAGATACACCCAATTGAATGCAGAATTCCAAAGAATAGCTAGAAGAGATAAGAATGCCTTCTTAAATGAACAGTGCAAAGAAATAGAAGAAAACAATATAATAGGGAGGGCCAGAGAGCTCTTCAAGAAAATTGGAGATATGAAGGGAACATTTCATGCAAAGATGGGCATGATAAAGGACCAAAATGGCAGGGACCTAACAGAGGCAGAAGAGATTAAGAAGAGGTGGCAAGATTACACAGAGAAACTATACAAGAAAGAGCCTAACGTCCCTGATAACCACGATGGGGTGGTCACTGACCTCGAGCCAGACATCCTGGAATGTGAAGTCAAATGGGCCTTAGGAAGTCTGAGCAACAACAAAGTTAGTGGAGGTGACAGTATTTCAGCTGAGCTATTCAAAATCTTAAAAGACGATGCAGTAAAAGTGCTACACTCAATATGCCAGCAAATTTGGAAAACTCAACAGTGGCCACAGGATTGGAAAAGGTCAGTTTACATTCTGAACCCAAAGAAGGGCAATGCCAAAGAATGTTCAAACTACCGCACCATTGCACTCATTTCACATGCTAGCAAAGTGATGCTCAAAATCCTACAAGATAGGCTCCAGCAGTATGTGGACCGAGAACTACCAGAAGTACAGGCAGGATTTCGAAGAGGGAGAGGAACTAGAGATCAAATTGCCAACATAAGCTGGATCATGGAGAAAGGTAGGGAGTTCCAGAAAAACATCTACTTTTGCTTCATTGACTATGGTAAAGCCTTTGCTTGTGTGGATCACAACAAATTGTGGCAAGTTCTTAAAGAGATGGGAGTACCAGACCATCTTATTTGTCTCTTGAGAAACCTATGTGCAGGTCAAGAAGCAACAGTGAGAACTGGACACGGAACCACCGATTGGTTCAAAATTGAGAAAGGAGTTTGGCAAGGCTGTATACTGTCACCTTGCCTATTTAACTTATATGCAAAGTACATCATGAGAAAGGCGGGGCTAGATGAATCACCAGTTGGAATTAAGATTACCAGGAGAAGTATCAACAACCTCAGATATGCGGACGATACCATTCTAATGGCAGAAAGTGAAGAGAAACTAAAGAGCCTCTTGATGTGGGTGAAGGAGGAGGGCGCAGAAGTTGGCTTGAAACTCAGCATTAAGAAAACTAAGATCATGGCATCCAGTCCTCTTACTTCCTGGCAAATAGATGGGGAAGAAATGGAGGTAGTGACAGATTTTATTTTCCTGGGCTCCAAGATCACCGCAGACAGGGACTGCAGCCAAGAAATTAAAAGATGCTTGCTCCTGGGGAGGAAAGCTATGGCAAATCTAGATAGCATACTAAAAAGCAGAGACATCACCCTGCCAACAAAAGTGCGTATAGTCAAGGCTATGGTTTTCCCAGTTCCAATGTATGGCTGTGAAAGCTGGACCATAAGGAAGGCTGAGCACCAAAGAATTGAGGCCTTTGAATTGTGGTGCTGGAGGAGACTCTTGCGAGTCCCTTGGACTGCAAGGCAATCAAACCAGTCAGTGCTAGAGGAGATCAACCCTGACTGCTCTTTAGAAGGCCAGATACTGAAGATGAAACTCAAATACTTTGGCCACCTACTGAGAAGGACGGACTCCCTGGAGAAGAGCCTAATGCTGGGAACAATAGATGGCAAAAGGAGAAGGGGACGGCAGAGGATAAGGTGGCTAGATGGAGTCACTGAAGCAGTCAGCGTGAGCTTAAGTGGACTCTGGGGGATGGTGGAGGACAGGAAGGCCTGGAGGAATGTTGTCCATGGGGTTGCGATGGGTTGGACACTACTTTGTGACTAACAACGACAAGTCAGTATCCACATCAAATAAGTTTTGTGAGTAATATTTCAGAATTTATGTGCTATGTGCAAAGATTGTTCTAAACTTAGTACCATGCGAAATAAGTTAGATGTAGGCCAAGTACATCAGAACAATAAACCTCATTCATCACTTCTGTGTGCTGTACATGAAGTTGATCAGAAAGCTGTTGGCAAGCTACAACTCTCTGCAGAATATCTTCAACCTCACTGTGAAGATTGATCATGTAACCTGCTTACACAATTGGCACTGTATCCTAATTTTTTGCACAGTTGCTGCCGCCTGCAAGTCTGCCTTGATGCCAGGTTCTAGTGATGTTTCATTGCGGTACCACCTGCTGTTTAACAGTCACAGATACAGTCTACATACAGAAGTTCCAGATGTCAGCCGCTTCCTTCCATTTTAAGCATAGTGATTAGTGCTGTCATAGCCACTTTTTCTCAAATTGTCCAGTGCAAACTGTAGAACAATCCTAAATGTGATGAGGAAGCCAATGCAGCAGATCTCCCACCACTTCTGATGACGAGTGGCTTGTGCCAGCTGGGTGTAAGGGTGGGAACAAGCTTTTCTTTGTTTTTGGTAGATTTAACATTTTCCACTTCACATTGGTTCCAAAGGGAGGGAAAGTAGCAGATCTGGGGGCTTCAGGACTTCATGCGGCAGAGGAGACCTTTATGTTCTTTATTCATGGCCACAGCTACTCCACTTTTGGAATTTGGTGTGCCTGCCTGTGGCTGTAGATGTAATCTGGGATGTACAGCTCTTCTTTCTCCACAGTTGTAAAGGCTTTCCACCCACATCCTAACCCCACAGGCAAGCAGATTTGACCAGTATTTACATTTCCAGAATGTATAAAATAGTATGAATGATAACATTAGTATTCACAAGATGCAACAGGAATGGAAAATATTTTTGGCTATCAGACCCTCTCTGAACATAAGGCTTCAACGATAGTTCCTTCCTTTTTTCCCCCATCCCCAACCTGTTACTGAGCTGGGTAAATTGGAGCATGGCTTTTGTATTGCAAATAACAAGGTAAACTCTTGTTAAGATAAGTATGTCTCTTGTGTTCTTTTCCCAGGATTTGGCATGTTTTCATGCTCCATCTCTTTCAGATCCTGCTAACAATGTTTTACCTTTTGTTTTCTCAATAAACTGATCCAATGTATAGGAATAAGCTCATTTTGAAGAACAGCCTAGAAGGTGAATGCATTTGTGCTCTTTGCCAGAATTCATTATTTAGGAAACCTGTGGTGATAATCTCTCTCAAATGCCAACAAGCAGCCATAAATGTCATTAATTGTGGAAATGGATGTAGGAAACCCTGGGATATGTTGAACTGAAGTACTTTGCCTACTGTTAAAACATTGGAGTTGTACCAGGAAATCTTCTATCACAGTGGATGGCATTTTAATAATAAGAGAATACTGTTGAACATTCATTCTCTATTCTCAAGACGTTTTCTAGGATTGGTAAAGTTGGAACAATTCCTTTGAGTATTTGGACACCAACTGTCTATTAATCATTCATTGCAGGTTTTTGAATTTCTCATTCGTTTGCACTCAGCTGAAGCCCCAGCAGATGAAGAAGTTTACCCCTATGTTCGCACGCTGCTTCACTTCGATACACGGGAGTTCCTTAATGTTCTTGCACTGGTAAGTGGCAATATGTGTTCCAAAGCATTGTTAGGAAAAATATCTCATCAGCTCCTGCACTGGGTTAAGGTAGCCTACATGAAACAGGCTTCCTGCAAATCTGCTGAACTGCAGCTACCATAATTACCAGCCAACATGCTGAGTTGGAGCTAAGATTGTGGAAGAATCAGTGTTGGAGTTGGGAATCCAATGGATTCTCTGGGGTTGGCTCCCTATACTCTGGTCCAGTTCATTGTGGCTCTCATTCTAAGTTCCTGGTGAGCATGCCCCGTGTTTGTGAGATACTCACCAGGAATGGAGCACCATGTGCTGTGCAGAAAGCATCCCTCTTCTGCACCACATGCAGGAGACATTTGTGCTGCTGCACTTGACATGGACAAAGGTTGCTGCTTACACAACTTTCATTCCATGAGTTTTTACAGACATCTCTTAGTTTATTTGCATTTAATATATTCCAGTGTGTACTGTATTAGAAAAATCCTTAACATGCTAATACATTATACTTCATAGTAGATAACACATACTGCTATGTTAGATTATATTAGTGACCAGTATGGTAACAATTATGGATTCCTTTACTCCTTGCTGGGAAAAACTGTACATTGTTATGTAGCAGTACACTTGCTTGCTGTATAGTTCAACATGTAAAGACAGTGCAGTTGCTATTTCTGGAAGCCAGAGGCTGCCCTAACATTAGATAAAGGAGCAAAAAAAAACCAAACCAAAACAAAACAAACAAAAACAGAAGACCTTGTCCTGTCCTTCCTTTTGCTCCTTTTGATATCCAAACAGAACAGAAGGTGCATGTGAGGGTTAAAGGTTAAGAGACAGAAAGAGCTGATTAGGTTTGGAGGGTGAGGTGGAGAGACAGAAAAGTGGTGTTATGGTTTAGCATATTTTCACATTATTTTCATGAACGCTCATCTTCTATTTTGTTACCACAAAGAGCAAAGATCAGAACAAAACTGGTTAAATCCGCCTTAGTATACTACCTTCATTAGACCAACAAAAGTCACAACTGTAAGCTTTTGAAAGTATTTGTATTACACAGACATGGATCTTGAAATATCTTATTACTGTTTCCTGCAAATAGTTTCACACTGGCTATCCAAAGGCAGCACTGCACATTGTGATTGTTCATACTAATTTTAGCTCAGCATGCTTTCTCATTGCTCTGTGTAAAACAATCTCTTTATGCTATGGCTGTTTGCTTGATTTGCCATCACGGGTTATTTAACCCACATGTGTGCTTGCTGTTGTGAATGTGGAACCCCAGAGTTGCTGTGTCATGGGTTATTCAAGAGTTAAACAACCAATATAAGATGCTCAACCAATGAAGGAGCTGCATATCTAGCCTTTCATTCATAGGCATTGTAGTTCGTTCCAATCTTGTCATTAAAGTTATTCTTTCCTATTACCATTTTGTTGCCTGACTTCTCTGTTTTCATTTGCAATTTTGGGAGTCTTGCTTATGTAGAAAGTATACCAGTTTTGCAATTTGACTTCTGTCCTCGCCAAAATCACTGAGCTCCTTACTACCAAGTCTAAAGGTCTCTATGCCCATCTTCCTTGACCTATTGGCAGCAGTTGATTGCTCTCTCCTGGTTGACACTCAAGATGCAATCTTGTTTAGACAGAAAAAAAATCCATGGCTGGGGTGCTGGGAACTGTAAGCATTTTCTATCTAAACACATGCATCCTCATTCTATAGTGCTTTTCTTTAGGTTGTTTCTAAAGAAGCCTTTTATAAAAAGTGGGGGGTTATGAAGGCCCTTTTATTTCATGAGAATATTCAGTTAGGGGCAGAAACAAAGAGTGCCCAATGATAGAGCTGACAGAGCCAGAGATAGATTTAGAAGAGTTCGCAGGAATGTGTGTACTTTCTGACTCAGTGCTATTCCATCGCACTCTGTCCATTCCCCTTGACATGGGTCTGAACTGATCAAGTCACTTCCTCCTCCCTATTTTTTTCTTCCCCCGCTCAATAAAAAATGGCAGGAAGCTGCAATAGCAGTTGCTTCTCTTTGCAAGCTTTTGTGCTCATCTCAGCTGTCCTCCATCTGAGTGGGCCAGGGGAGGTGAGTCCAAAGCAGAGCTACATCACAGCAGCCTTGTATCAGACATGACAGAATGGGATCTCTTCCTCCTCATATAGTACAGCTCATATTTGCTTTGCTTCCTCCGAGGGAAAGGCCAGGGGAGGTGGGAGTGCACCATGTGCTGAAGGAAATGGCCACTGGTTCTCCGCCCCAATTTACAGATTGACAGCCAGCTCTATTTCTGGATCCCATGATTTTTTTTGCATCCACTGAATCCTGTATCTTCCATTCCTTTCTGTCACAGTGAGCTTCTCCAGTTCACACCACACTCTGATACTGCACATATGTGAAATCAATATATTAACAACTTAAGGCACTGAAATGAAATTCCAGTTAGATGAGTTATGAACTCAAGCAGTCATTTCTAGAAATCAAGTAATAATGACATCTGGCCACATTTAAGGCAAAGTCTACTTGTTTATGCTAACTAGTTTGTATAGGCTGTTGCTCGATGTCTTTGTAACAACTATTGCAAGCATGTTGTAAGATATAAATAAGTCAATTAGTTATCTTTTATGTGCATGCAGCCCTTTCTCTGCTGCCTCACTTCACTCTTTACATAAATGGGGAAACAAGCCAGGAGGCCATCAATTCTCTAATAGAACATAGCCATAGCTGCTTGTTGCACCTGATCTGGGAATTGTGGGTCATGACTTCCAAACATACCAGGATCTGAACTCATGTTTTAATCTTGATTTATGAATTCTGGTTAACCGCTTGGCTTGGTTCTCCATGTACACAAAGAAGAGCAAAGTGAGGGTAAAGCATATGCTTGAAGTTCCTGCATATCTTGGTTTAAGCCAAGCTTTCGCTGTCCAAACATAACCACTGGAAAGCAGCATAGGAAGTATATAAAAAGAGCTGGTGCTGACTTTATTTTTCCGCATTACCCATTCTGCAATAAATGTGTGATGTGTATTTTTCTTTCTTCCCAATGACATTCTCTAATAAGACATTTGAAGACTTTAAGAATGATAAACAAGCTGTGGAGTACCAACAGAGAATTGTCGACATCCTTCTCAAGGTAAGTTCACCCTGGTTTCAGTAGTGGCTACAATCAAAGATTAATTATTTCTGTACTGCATGTGCTTTTATGCTTCTGTTACTGGTCCAAAGCACTTGTTTTGGGAAGTCAATAAATGATTCCCTGGTGGAGCTTGCTTATTGGTAATATACATTTAGAATGTCTTATTTGACCTCCATCTCTTAGAAGGTATTTTGAGATACTTGAATATGAAACATTTTCTGAACCTTAATTGTTCATTGCTGCCTGAATAGTGGTCAAAACACTTGGCAAACATTAAAAGGTAAGGTTTTGTTTACCAAAGCATGAAAAAGTGTTCTCATCAACACATCCTTATTTTTAAGTTCATTGAGCTGACAAATCATGTGGGTTCAGCTAGACTGAGGTTTTGTTTTTTTTAACCAGTCAGTAATCTTTATTGGAGAAGTACATCACAACATTTGGGGAAATGTGGATTTCATGTATTGAATTCATGGAGGGATATTTATTTTATTTATTTATTAAAACATTTCTATGCCGCCCCATTCGCCGAAGCCTTGGGGCGGCTCACAACATAAATTAAAATACAAAAGATAACAATATAAAATAAAATATATGAATGTGGTTTTTTTACATTCTTTTCCATGATATTTCTTTCCATCAAACACTTATCTTATACTTGCACTCTCTTGTGCTATTTCTGAAGTAGTTTGGTTTGGTTTTATTTGGCTTTTGTGGCTCCTTACTCATGTACCTCTCTTTAAGAATTCAGCGGGCCTTTTCTTTATCTTGTTTTGAGAATGCCTCCTTCTTCTTCGTGGATTCTGTGCATCACACATATGGGTGCTGCGCCTGCTCAGTGCCCTAGTTTGGGAAGATTCTCCTAGCCCAGGGGTCGGCAACCCACGGCTCCGGAGCTGCATGTGGGTCTTGAACCCCTCTGCTGCGGCTCCGTTGCCGGCACAGCCGCTGATCTGCTCGAGGCTCCACTCAGGAATGCAGCGCTAGCTAGTTAAGTAAATCACTACATTCCTCTGCTAACCAAGCTTCCTGCAGGCACTCATATTACACAAAATGCTGCTGAAAAGATTCTCTTTGTCCCAATGTAATCTCCTTCACCTGAATGTTAAAAGTTGTGCTTGGGACCTGTCACAATTCACATCACTTGACTGTTTATCTGCTAATCAGTCACTATAAACACACCTATATGTGCGACTGGCACCGATGTACTGAACTTCCCCCCCCCTCCAACTATGGATAAATCCGAAGAACAGTTTCTGAAGAAAACTGAACGTTTAATGGTACGTGGGTAGATTCATTTGCTTTTACTGCTGACGAACTTATGGGGTTTGCTGTTTAATGCATGCAGCCCTT